GTTCTTCTGCAAGTTGTTAACAAATGTGGCGAGAAGCTTTGTAAATGGGAAGATGCTGAGTCTCATCATCTTTCGAAACATGCAGGTTTGTGTTGGTTGGTTTTGAAATTGTTGTCTGAGATTTCCCGTTTTCGCTCGACGGCTTAGCTTGTTTCATGTTTTGTTTCTTATCTTGTTTTGGCCACACGGGTTCTGGCATTTCTGTATCTAGATGATATTGCTTGGATTTTCTTTTTGTATTTTTTCGGGTCTGATACGGAATCTTTAGTTCGGCTTCGCTTTTTGTTTCAACAAGCTGATAACACTGATTTCAACTATTTTCCCCCTTTGGGCTTTCTTACTTTTGTTTGCTCTCGAGAGTTGAGACAGCCAAACGCCCAAAACTAATCTGTTTTCCACTTTCTTTTATTTCAGCCATTTTTTTGTTGTTGGTATGTTACTGATAAAAGTATGGAGATAACATTTATATATTGCTTTTGGAAACTAAAAAATCATAAAATCCTCTAAGGTTTTTATTTTTTATTTAGACGGGTAATTCTAACATCCTAAAATTATATAATTGGGATTGAAATTTGCAATCCCACTTATTTCATTTTGGTAAAATTTAATTGAATTAATTATTGTTTAATTATTTTAATTTGTCATGTGTATTCATTGCGATATATAGTAGGAAAAAAATGCTTAGAAAAAAAATAAGGTTTTATTGATGCGCATGGCTTTGATATATATACTATATATTATCCCTTTTTTATTGTAAAATATTTTTAATCAAATTATATCACTAATTATGAGTTAGTTATTTGGCTTTAAAATCATATACTCTTTCAATATTTATTCACATTTAATGGGCATCTCAATTAAAAAATTCATTTAATTACTTCCTTTAATTAATGGTGTTTTTTGAAAAATCTCATTAATTATATTTTAAAAAATTTAAAATATTTTATATTTTTAAACATGTTATTTTTTTTAAAACATACCTTATATTGTTGATGGGAAGGAGTGTATTTTAAAGAGACATTATAATACGAGGAGTGGAACTCCCAGCTGTTGGACTTTTTAAAATTTTCTACTGTATTATTGTTGTAAAATAACTTTTCCACATTTCCAATGAAAATATACTAAATTAAAAAGTTGAAGAATTAGGTTTGACATGACATACAATTTTAAAATCTAAAATAAAAAATAAAGAGAATAAAAAAAATACTATTAACCGTGTGCATTATATTTTTAAATAAGCTCCGTATATATTTTATTATTTACTGAAATGCTTGTTATATGCTTCGTCTGTTCAATAATGTTAGTTTTTTTTTTTTAAGAGATTAGATATTAAAAAATATAAATTATTTAAATAAATAATTATTTTATTGATGATAATGAAAATTACCTTGTACTTTTGAATGGTGGGAGCATTTTTCTTTCTTGCCCTCTTAATCTAATCCCATTTTGTTACCTTCAACATTAATTGTTTGCTTATATCATACTATTGATTGACTAAGAAAAGGGTGAAAAAGGACTGAATTAAAACTTAAGTCTTCTTTGGGTACAAACAAGGAACGAGTATCTCTTAATCAAACACACTCGACATACAAAAATATAACACATTGAATTACGGCTTGTTATAGTTGCTGATTAATTCGTGCATGTTTCTACAATAATATTTATCAGTTAAAATATCAAATTTGCAATATTTAAACAGTGACAGAGCTTGTGGTGGGAGACTCATCGAGGAAAATAGTGGAGATAATATGCAGATCAAGCTGGGTTGAGCCGGAGAAGTACTACTGTTCAGGATTATTGGACAAGGTTGTGCATAACACTCAGAAAACCCTAGCTCGATTCGAAGAGTACAGAGAGAGCGTGAAGATGAGAGCCAGCAAGCTCCAGAAGAAGCACCCTCGCTGCCTGGCCGACGGCAACGAGCTTCTTCGCTTCTACGCCACCACCCTTTCCTGCTCTCTCGGCTTCAACACCAACAGCCTCTGCGTTTCTGAGAGATGCTGCGTCTGCAGAATCATCAGAAACGGTTTCTCGGTGAAGGAGGAGGTGAACATTAAAGGCAGTGGGATCGGGATATTCACGACGTCGACAAGCGGTAGAGCACTGGAGAGCGTGGAGGATGATAGCGGCGGGGATGAAGGAGTCGACGAGGAGGAGAAGAAGAAGGTGTTGATAGTGTGTAGGGTTATTGCAGGCAGGGTTCATAGGCCATTGGAGAATGTGAAGGACATGGCTGAGCTTCAGAGTGGGTTTGATTCTTTGGCTGGCAAACTTGGGGTTTATTCCAACATTGAGGAGCTTTATTTGCTTAATCCTTCTTCTCTTCTTCCCTGTTTTGTTATCATTTGTAAACCTTGATACACAAACTGGTTTCTTCAAGATATTTAGAATGTTGAATTAGTCTGAGTATTATGTATTATATCAAATCTAAAATAATGAGTTCTAGTTTTTCATAACTCACACGCATAATAGTATGGTTTAAAATTTTTGTATCATATACATGAATATATATAGATTATAGGTGTATATAAAATAGCATCAACCCAAAGACACATGGATTATTGATTTACATTTTTCCAACGTGTCAAGAATTTGATTGTGCAAGTTGATTTGACAGCAGGACTAAATTTGCAAAAGAATAAATAAGTTGTCTGTGAGATAAATGAGGATTACAAGACAAGGGATCGCATTGAAATAACAGCATAAGTGAAGAGGGAGACAGTAATTTACTCCAACAATGAAGTTATATGTTGATGTGTTCCGATTATATGAACACTGTTTGCTGTGAGCATGCCAGGATGTAAGATAATAATATTATCTTAATTTCCCCAAAATATAATACATGTGTGATATGAATGGCATGTGCATGTTGGACAAAAAAAAAAAAAGGCATGTGCATGAGTTCATTTAATTAGAAAGTACAGCCTAGAATGAAGTACAACAACCTGTTCAATATGCATGAAGCAATCCAAATATAAGCAGATGATATTTAAATACTCTCACATGCATTCTGCATATGTCTGTTGTGACAGCTGAAATTTTTTTGCTGGTAAGGAATCGCGCTTCGCATGATAAAAAGTTCGTATTTCTAAGCATGTGAAATTGCTCAGCGCCTGAGCCCAAAGAATGTTTTAGCTGTCCCCTCTTTGCCGAGTAAATAGTTTTCGTGTCGTAAGTGTGTTAGAGAATAAAGCATAATTAATTTACATGGAAGATCATTCATTGATATTTCAATTATATGATTTAAACTTTGATTGCAGTTTAATTTGATTGTAACTATATATTCACTATCGTTTTCAATGCATGATTAGTTGTTTTAGTGACAACATCAGTTCCCTCGCGTGGAAGAAGTTTCAGGTTTGAACTCAATGTTGACATATTTATTTTGTGTGCTTTTGTAGCGTGCATCAGTGTATGTCCCCCTTTCATTTTAAAAAGGGATAGGTTAGGAGTAATCCTTCTTTTTAATATATATATATTTATATATATATTTGCTACTTTTTTATTTAAAGTGTTTAATATTATTTTGATAAAAAAACATTTCTTCTTTGAAAAATTATATTGCAATATTTTACTACATCTATGTTAATATGAAATGGCAGACTGTGGAGTTTAATTACACATTCATGACAGAAGCAGTCTGAAGATCAAGCATTAAGAGGCGAGGCCACTCATAAATTAATGTTTGGGAAAATGACAAGTAAAGACTTTATAAAAAAATTAATGCTAAATTAGGAATTTTTTTTTTTTTACAGCTAAAGTTCCCACATTCAATACTAATCCTTCTCTCATGTTTCAGTATTAAAAATCTTGATTTGATATTAATCTTATAAAGTTCTTAGTTGTCATTTTCCCTAAATGTCTTATATCCACCAACCCTCGTAAACATGTGAAACACTTTCTCTGCTCATTTAATGATAATATATGTTCAAAATTTGAAGTCTCACAATTATTTATGGAAAAATTCAACTTGTCCAAGAACTTGGAATAACCCTTCTAATTAGCTAGCTACTCTGGCACAGCAAGCCCCCACACCCCACAACAACTACAACTACATATTCAGAGTTTTGAACCGAAAGCCCTTTCATTTGAGGCATCTCTCTCTCATATTAATGTTTGATTCTGACTCACCATTTTCTCATGCCCAATTATAAGGACTCTGGAAAAACAAAATGGGTTTTACACGTCACTCATGAATTCTTTAGTTCAGTCTTCCTATGTACCTTCCTTTTGCTATAATACAACTTGCCTCAAATTTCTATTTGTGCTCTTCCCTCCCTAATATTAGTTCTTATCCAAATCCAATCTCTGTCACCTCACAGTAATATTTGTGAAGTTACTTGTTACATGAATTTCTATTTGAAGAGGGATGTAAGTAGTTCATTTGAGGATAAGAGAAAAATATTGAACTAATATGATCAGGATATTTGTGTTTGGTATACTGATGCAAAGAAAAAAATGTCTAATTTTCCAGCGAGACACTTTTAACTGATATTCGTATATAAGTCAGAACATACGGGATACATATAGCAAACCACTGTCTGAAAAGAGGCTTCTCAGATATGAACTGCATTATGAGAGTTATGCAGCCTTCACTGAAAAACTAGCTTATGCATGGGTATCTTTCCCAGTTATTTCTAAAATTAGTCACGTTTTTCTTTCACATGACTTTTCTTTTCCTATTTTAGAGTTTAAACTTCATTTTTTTTTTCTACTTTACAGTTAGGCCTCAATCTTTCCACAAGGTTGCCTTTAATGCATTAGGTTTTTGGGGAACAAGACTCTCCAGCTGTATAATGTAGCTGGAGAGTATGATAGTGGGATTTACTTGACAAGTGCCAAGTGGGACTCACTTTCCTTTATTCTTAAAATTTTGCTTCCCTTTTATTTATACTACGGCGAAAAGGAAATATAAATATGCTTATTATACTTATAACATCGAGTTTATGTAAGAATTTCTTATTAGTCGGTATACATATTCGGCGCAAATTGTGCTAAAATTTTCCGGGGAACTACGCCCTCCATTTCTCATGATCATTTAATGATAGCTATGAATCTTACAACTGCATGGAAAGTAACATATACCAAACATTCAAGAAGGAATTAAGTGAGTTTTGGGTAAAGATATGACCACATTTATTGCGTTTGAACATCCATTCAAAACCCAATGAATCTACAAAGATATTTATGTACAAACAGCTAGAAATGATAGAGGATAATCTACTGGCTTACAGGAGATAAATAACCATAATCTTGACAGCACAAGATTGCCTGATGAATTATATCCTCAAGTCCATACTTGTAGCTAAATCCCAAATCTTTTAGCTTCTTTGAGGATATCTCAGGATCAACTTTGTTATCACTTTTATCAGCAATTCTGCAGAAGCATGTGCATGAAATAAGAAGACATAAACAAAAACAAAGTTTTATAAATAAACCTGGTTCAAGAAGTGAATATTGTTACCTCTGAGTATTTGAGCAAGGATGCTTTTGGAAGAGAAGATTATATAATTTGGACAGTGAACAACTTTCACTGCAGCAGATGTATCTACCCTCTGCTCTGGCATGCTCCATTAGGAATATGTGGGCACTGCATATATCTTCGATGTGAACTACACCTAATGACCCCATTCTCGAATTTACGGCTGATAATATCTTGAAGAACTCACTTTCACCTACGTTAATTCAACATTAAATTGCTCAAACTATTCTCAATGCACAATATAATGGACATGGACGCTAGATGTTTAATTCCATTGTCTTGTGTGTTTGTCAGTGTCAGTTCTTGCCTTGTATAGTACGTTCTATATCATTATCTAGGATGGCTTTTGTTTAGAACAGTTCATAAACAAACACTGAAAAGGCTACTAGATCCCCAAGTAGTTGAAAGCTTCAGGTATTAATTGCAGGAAAAAACACAATTATTGATTTTTATAGTTTTAACATGTTTTGGTGCAGGTCCTTCTATTTTTTCCCATCTACAATCTTAGTCTCTCTATTTTTAAATATGTTCAAATGGATAATGATGTGACACTAATGGTATTAAATATGCAGACATGTCACTAACAGTGTTAATGAGGATGTTGAAGTGTTAAAATCTCCATGAGGTGGCATGCTGAAGAAGTTGATTTCGTCTATCTGATCAAACTTTGGTTTTTTTCACCATTCTATTATGCAAAATCTTTAGTGTCTTCGAGATTTTAACACTTCAACATTCTCATTAACATCGTTAGTGACAAATCAATATGTTTAACATCATTAATACCACATCGTTGTCCCTCTAGACATATTTAAAACTAGAAAGACTAAAGAAGTTGCAGACAGGAAAAATTGAGGGACCTAGAGCAGTGAAAAAAATACAAAGACCTATACCAAAATACATTAAAACTATAAGGACCATTAATTTTGTTTTCCCTAATTATAAGCTTAGAAATGATATATACCAATAGAAATCTTAAACTTAAGTGAAACCTCTTTTGGATTAAACATGTAGATTGTGGCCAAATTACCTGTTATTGGTGATAGAAGGACTTTAATACTTGATGGTACAGAAGCAGTAAAAAATGGGCCTGCAACAGTTGTAGTTATGACTGATACAAGATCAATGCCATTCTCTTGTGCAAATTTAAATGCTGCTTCTTCTGCTAAAAGCTTTGAAAGTGCGTAAACCTGCCACATCAAGAATGGACATGTTATAATACGTAACAATCACTTAAAGAATGAACATGTTACAGTTTCATATTTGAAATATATATTCCCTGTAAAAGAGGCAGAGGAAACAATAATGAATTACCCATCCAGTGGCTTTTGTGTTCCATACTTGGTCAGCTTGAATCTGACAAGACTCATCAACAATGGGCTTGTACGTGCCATTGCTGTCTTTGGCAGTGATGGTGCTTATGGAAGATGTAAAAACGACTCGTTTCACAGATTTGGATTTCAAGCAGGATTTTAGAACGTTGATGATTCCTTTGATCGCAGGGTCAAGTATGTTTGCTTCAACATAGGCTTCTGCAGAGTCAAACATAACAGGGTTCAAAGTCATCAATTTACACACAGAAACACAACCACCTCGTAGGAAATCATATGCAATCCCCAAAATTTCTGTTCATGAGCCAAGTGACTTGCTAGTTGTTACATATTTTTGCACACTCTGTACAGATGGGCTTAAGTTCATGTACATATTTAATTCATTTATTGAACAGGTTTATACATACCAGTTTAGTCTTTGCTAAAATGAGGGACCAAGAACAGATTGACTTGGAATGGGCTAAGTTTCATGTTAGCCTATTTATTAAAAGTCCACGATTCTTTTTTTGAAAAAAAAGTCCATGAAATGGCTCGTGTAAACTATAATGGGTGAATCTTGGCCCTTTTTAAGTCCTAAACCAAAGAATTAATGACAATTAGATCTTACAAAATTTTTAAAAAAATAAGTTGTAAATATCAATTCAAATAAATACAAATTCAAGGGTTTTAATTCTCAATAAAACGTTGAAATTTTAAATATAACAATCAATTTGTAATCTTGTTTGCAATGTTTGGATTGATATTTATAATTTATTTTTCAAAATTTTTTGTTAAGGATCTACTAACTATGATTAATTTCTTCTTTTGGGATTTTATTATTATTTTTCCCAATTTATTGAACAAGCCCACCTGATAGTGTTAGTTTATCCAATATATGAATAAGAATTACTCAAACCTTTTAACTTCTTGCTAAAATTATACAATTTTTTAAAAAATTAATCCAAAATTTTTTATATTATACTAAAATTACAAAAAAAAACTGGAATCAATACAAAATTTTATCTATGTATAATTTTTTTTTTCAGGAAAAATGAGGAGTAAATAAGTTAAAGCAAGAAAAGATGGAATTACCAATATTGTGATGGTGATGAGGAGGGACATGGAATTGCATTGAAGCAGCAACATGGAAGACGCCATCACAGCCTTGGAGTGCCTCATCAAAGCTTCCTTCATCTTCCAAATCTGCCCTGAACAATCTCAGCCGTTCACTCCCCGTCCACAGGGACACTAGGTGCATTGACTTTGCTGCCTCCCACATTCATTCATCATTCCATCAATACCCATTTAAAAGCCAGACATTCTAATTTTGGAGGTCGTTGGCTCCCCAAAAATCAGATGAACTTGGCACAAAAACAAAAAGAAGAAAGCACAACACAATTTGATGTTTGTACCCACAAAAACAAAAAAACACAAGTTGAAGTTGACAGAGGCTTCTAGAATGAGTCACTAAGTGCATTAGAGGTACGACAACACATAGCCACCAAGTTCAAATTTGAGGTCTCTTCTTGTCTCCCTTCTCTTCATTCATTTTTCAATTTTCAAAGATTCAAAACTATGCTTTCTTTTCATAGATTTACCCTTCATTTGAATGAGGAGAAAAGGAAGGAGGGTAAGAAAGAAAAATTAAAAGAAAACATTCTTAAAAATAGTTTAAAAAAAAACTATTTTTTTAAATTTCTCTTATTTTTATTTTTTCCCTATTTTTCTCTCTGCCCAAACCAATTCTTGAATTTGAGGCCTTCGTATGTGTTGTGTAAGACAACATCCAAGAATGGGACAAATTCACCAGGATGTAAGAGTTATAAAATGATACATATAAATGGATTTGACATTTCAACTATAAAAATCAAGATTTTTGAATTCCGGCAAAAGTTAACGCATGAAATCTACAGGGTTGAACCTGAGCTCTCATTCCTATATATGATATATATGAAATCTATCGTTTGACTTGAGTGAGTTTGTTTCAGGCATTCAAATAAATAAAGCTCTCCACCAAATTGAGAATCTTCTACTTCTAGTTCAGGAGCCCACTAATCAAGCAGATCACCATAATTATCTGTCTTAATTATGGACCCCTGATGATTTCTGTGGATTAATTAAGACTCCACGTATTCACCCATTTACATCCCCATATTCTTCTTCCAGAGAAAGACTGGAAATTAATTCCCTCCCCTGCCTAATAAGCTCTTCGTGGATTAATCACCTTATACCCTCAAGGATCATTCAGCTTATAAGATTCTGTGGTTTAATGAAAACAGAGGCAAAGGCAACATTAATTAGTTTACATGTTGACTACTTGGGAGGTGATAGAAAGCAAGAAATGAGAGTGCAGAAGCAAAAAGAAAGAAGAGGAGAGAGAAAAGAGGAAAAACCAGGATCTCTGACAGTGGCATGGACGAAGAAGCCTCGTTCAAGAAGGGACTCGACGAGCCATGATCCGATGTACCCTGTGGCTCCTGTCACGCAGTATCTTCTTCCTCCTCTTCCTTCTTCCTCTCCCCTCTCCATCTCTCTCCTCCTCTCCTTCTTCCTCAAAAAGCTACCCATCCCTGCCTGCATTATAGGTGGTTTAATTACTCTTTTTAATGCCTTGATTCTCTTTTTATTATATTATTATTACTATTATTAATTAATTATTTGGTTTAATCACTGTATTAATTATTTATGCCTCCGCTCCAGCACGCTTCTTGCTGCCTAGGGATGTAGCAGTAAATTTTTACTATAATATTCAATGCACGTTGTTCTGAATCATTAATTACCTTCACTCGTGCCTTACTTTTTATGGTTGCCATGTCTTCAACATTCATTGTCGTTATTATCACATTGTGCTAGTAATTTATGCCACTGCTGATTGAAGACCTCTCCATTTTAAGAAAATAAGATATTTTAACATATAAGATATTTTAATAAAAATAAAATTTTAATAATAATATTTTTTATTATATTTTTTTAATATTTTTTTATAAATGAAGAATTAAATGAAGGATATCTTTAAAAACTTATATTTTATTTTTATTTTTTAAAAATAAAATTATAAAACATATTTAAAAAAATTATTGGTATTTATAATTTTTTTTAAAAGTGACTTATAAATTCAAGTAAAAAAATAGCTTATATAAAAGTGTTAGTATAAGAAGCTTTTAATAATGAATTTTTTAAATCGAAAATAAATGCATAAACACTTTGAGAATAGATTTAGCCTGTGTTTAAGGAACACTCCCTCCTGTACTGTATATAAGGTGTCCTATAAAAAAATAAAATTAATTCAATTTACAAGGTATTGTGGTAAAATATCAATAATTTTTCCTTTTTACCTCTAAAATTTTAATAACGGGTTTATGACTTGATAAATAAAGGTATAATTGAAAATGTCTCAATTTGCATGATTTTTTAAATCTATATAAAAATATATTAAACATTTTGTAACAGAAAGAGGAGGAAATATAACCAACAAATTCTTAAATACATTCTACATTTCCATGTGATCATGTCTCTACGACTAAATCAAACAACCCTTTATGAGTTAATGTGGTGAACAATGACTCTGATTTAATTGAAGCTCTCATTCATTTAGTTTAGTTTTACCCAAAATCATTCCCTCTCAGATATTATCAATAAAATCATGTTCTTGCTCATTGTTGGCATACTTGGAAGATCAGATTTGGCGAGCTTGTCATCATCGGCGTCCCTGGATTTGTTCAGATTTGGTTATGCAAGTTCAAATTTGGTGAGCTCGACGACAACCCCTCTCCCTTCTCAGTCTAGACTTGATGAGCTTGATCGCAACGAAGGTGGAGGTCGAGGAGGACAAATTTGGAAGTTAGATTTGATTATGCAAGATGAAGTAGCAACCGGATTTGGATTCATCGACGTTATCTCTCTATTGCATCCGTCTTGCAAGTTAAAGCGTATGGTTTGATCATATACACCGTTGTTAATGGTGGAAGTAGTGGAATGAGAGGATGATGAAGAAGAAGAAGAAAATGAGGGCAATGCTGTTTTTTTAACTATTATTGTGTTAAATTTGAGTCTTGTTTTTTTTTAATCACGTGTCATGTCAAACATAATTTTAGAACTTATTTTCACTTTCATTTTCAGTTTTATTCCCAATCTAAAAAAAATCAATACCACATACCAAATAAGCCTTTAGATGTGAAGCTTTATATACTTATAAAATGGACTGATTATTACCTTGCATGGTTTATTCATTTAAAAATAGAAAATATTTTGAATTAAATCACACTTCCTAATAAAATAGTTATTTGTTTTCAAACTAATATTTTTTCATATTTAATTTTATTTAGTATGATATTTCACTCTAAAAATAAATATAAGGTGATTTATCTATTAGAGATATTTTTAAAAAATGTAATAATTTTATTTTAAAATATTAAAAATATTTTATATTTTTTAATATTCAATCACTAAAAAAATGTAGTATTTTTAAACCAGAGTGTTAAGAAAATATGGTGAACAGTGAGAGAGAAGAGGAAATGGGGTGTTGTCATGCATGGTTGCCACATGGTATTCACATTCTGCATGTGTTTAGAATCATGACTGGGAGCACTGCCTCAGATCATCTGCCATAGTAATCTGCCAACATAATGATCTCCAATAATTGCACTGGATACATTGAAATTAATTATTAAATGATTGTATAGGCATGCAAAATCACCAAGACCAAGCCAACGTGGCAAGGAATTTGGACAAATCTAAAAAATACCAAGCCTTTGGTCTATATTCTCAATTTTTTGGGTATAATTATAAAATTATTATATACTCCTACCATGATATAATTAGAATTACACTTATGAATAATTTTAAAAAAACTCAGGAAACAAAGTAAATAAAAACTTTGTACAGTCCCGAATCTAAAAATGAAAACTTTTGGAAAAGAAGAGATTCGGAATCTTTGCAGGTGTCAATTGAAGATGGCTTCATGATGGTCTTGGCAGGATAATGCATCATGGACCCAACTCATGTTTGGTGGCAAGCGACCAAGACCGAGCCCTGTACTGTTGGCTGGTAGCAATAATTATTTTAATATTAATAAATTACACATATTATTTTATTATTTTCCTTATTTAATTTAAGAGTATAAAAGATACGTAACTATTGTCCAATAAAAATCACACTTTCCTTTGATCTATGTTTTCAGTTTCATTTAATGTTTACAGCGTTTGTAAATATTTTCAATTTTTTATTTTTTATCTAAAATTTAAATTGAAATGTATTTTATATGTTTTAAAATGAGAAAAAAATTAATGAGTGAACTGAAGAGTTAGAAAAAACTTAGAATCGACAACGGAAATGACAATAAAAGGATACAAGATAAATATAGGAGGGATGGATTTGAAATTTAAATGGTCAGAAAGGTAAAAATTAGCCACAGAGAGATTTATCATTATGATTTTAATTTTTTAATTGAAATAATGGGGAAGCATAAACTGCGCAGAGGCTATAGATTTTTATAGGATAGTGTGTTGACCCCTTCACGGAGGGCTATAATTAAATCTACAAATTATAGGGAACCAAAAGTATAATAAGATCTCAGAAATCTAATTTATCTAATTTTTTATTAATCAAAAAAGTATTACAAGAGAAACGATTTGCTGGTTGGGTGGCTGCAGAAAGCTCGAAGCCACGAACCCTTCATCTCGGCACTCAGAAGGATAAATCTTTAAGAGATTGCTTATAATTAAAATCACTGAAACAGATTATTTTATTTGCATATGGATAACTTGCACTGCTCAAAGTCCGTAAATTGGATGATAGCTTGATGATGATAGTCATCTAATTATGCATTCAAAAAGATGATAACGATTAACAACAACATAAAAATACAGAAATTCTTGCATAGATCCAATAGATCACATTATTTATTTGCTGTCTAATAAAAACAGATCATATCATATAATTGTAAATATAAATTGATTATATCAATTGACAATGATATAAAGATAAAAGACAAGAGGCAATCTATTTAAAAAATAAAGTCATTAAAATAATGACATATCATATTTTATTAGATAGAATTGGTACAATATGTCATGCTTTTATTGGACAAAATATGAATGACATACTTCCTCTGTTTAAAAATATAAGACATTTTTTAAGGAGTTAGATGTTCAAAAATATAAAGTATTTTTAACATTTTAAGGTATAATTATTATTCTTTTTAAAAGTGTTCATATTGATCGTAACTTTATATTTATGATAGGGTGTTTAATAAGAATAAATATAAAAAAATAGAGTTAGTTTGAAATTAAATAATTACTTTATTAAAAGATGAGATTTAATTAAAAATATTTTATATTTTTAAATGGAGGAGTAATATATTAGGTCCATTGTTTCATTCTTTTCTTTTGATCTTTTTGAATATATTTATTACATGCAATCAATTTACAATCATACGAGATCCAGGATTTGTTAAACGTATCTCATCAGTTGATAATTGTATAGTTTTGATGTGACTAACCCCAAGAAAAATAAATGCATTAAAAAATAAAAAATTGAATAATTTAGCCAAAGCATAATAAAAAGTAAAAACAATACGTGTAGAGACTAGTCACTTAAATATAGAAGGTAAAATACAAATCCTTTTTAACTTAATTTGATTTATACACATAATTGAAAATCAAAGCCTTCTTTTAACTTGGTTTGCTCCACGCAGAAGAGTTCAAAATCGAAACCCTAACGATCGCTTAAAAAACTAGAGCCCTTACCATTCTTGAAACCTAAGTTAGTCGGCATGGCAATTTTTGTAACAAAACAACTAATTTCCTATTGAAACTGTATTTATTGTGTAATAACATAGGAAAAAAAACTATATATGGAAATGGAATCAAAGAATTAAAATATTCCATTCAAATATATTAATTAATTTTTTTCTCATCTAAATACTTAAAATCAACTTTCTTCCACAAAATACTAATGCTGTTACCCTTTTTCTTAATGCCACTCCACCTGTTCCTGTCATAGAACTTAAAAAAATAATAATAATTCCTGATCCTTGATATAAATCATATAAAGAGTTATCAATTAATATTTTCTAATTTTATCCTTGTTACAAATTACTAAAAGAATAGTTTAATTTTAATTTAGTATTTATAAATAGCTCTTCGGATATTGTGTTTCTCTCTTTAACACAGGCAAAGTTGATTTTTTTATTTCATTTTAATACAGATTTAATAAGTTAAAACGTCTTTCTTGATTTTGATAAACTGATAAAAGTGATTTATAATAGAGACCAATGAAATAATACTTTAAACTTGCAGGCAAAGCAACAAAACTTTCCAGTTATATCATTCTTTCTCATACATGATATATATGCACCCTATCTTACCATTGCCCAGAAACTCCAGCAATGGCGAACCACAAAGTTTTTCTACTTGTATCCGTGGTGGCGTTGTTCTTTATTCCTAGTTTGTTAAGTTCATCTTTTCTGCAATATGCAGATCACCTGAAGCGAAGGATGCTTTGGGTAGTACCGATTGCAATTCCAGTAGCATTACACAAACTAGAAATAGTTTCACAGTTGATTGGAAAGCTCATTGGCAGATTTTCAAAGCCTTCATTGTCGCTGCCAAAAGGACTTCATGCTCGTCAAAAGCTATCGTCTCTCTCAAGATCTCCAGCACCATGGAATATGGCTGTTCTCATTGTGGCCTATCTCATTGTGGCTTTTTTCCAGGACAATATTCGAACACGATTTTTCCTTACTTATTGAATCACAAAGCTTTTTGCTCGATCCATCAAGTAAGCCAATCTTGTTTTTTTTATTAGTTCAGTGCTTGAAATCCTTGTTTCGTTGCTAGTTCCTTCCATTTGTCTCGACTTGAACAACAATTTATCAGCGAATTTATGGATTTATAATTTTCAAGTTTTCGAAAGTTAGCTCTGGAGAGCTGTAAAATTGCTCTGTTTAAAGTAGCTTGTTTTCTTATAGCATTGAATCTGAATCTTTCTTACTTTTCTTTTATTTTGAATTGGAGGGACAAATACTAACGGCTTGAGATTATAAGAGAAGAATTGAACCCATGACTTCTCGCTCATAGAGAAACTTGCATGCTATTAAGCCATAAGACCATCTGCAGAGTCTTTCTTTCCTATCTCACAGAACAAGGACCAACGTGTGATGTCTTGAAATATTTCAAAATTTATTCATATGGAAGTCCCATGTAGTGAAATATAACTGTTTGTTGTTACTGTTTTTGTCTATTTGTAGGGCAATTTAACTGAATCAAACTAAAATTATTTACAATGTGCGATAAATTATTAATGAAGTGAAAAACCACATGCTGACAAAAGCATGGAAGGTAACATTCTTTTGTTTTCTTTCTAATCATTTTCATTCCTTAAGTATTGAATGTACAAAGGCAAAACAAGAGAAAAGGATCAAAGCCACAAAGAAAAAAGTTACAGGGAAATACAGGGAATGATGATCAAGCCAATCATAGAAATCAGAACCTACACCACATTATATACGGCCACATGACATGTAAAGGCAAAACCCAGCCATGAAAATGTTACTTTTTAAGAAGAAAAGAATGAGGTAAAGGCAAAACCAACTTCTATACTTCATAGGCATCAACTGTACTATCCATGGACTCTTCTCGCCTGTGCTCAGTTACAGTAATCTTTGTTTCTGGCGGATCACCATCAACGGAAGCCACTTCATCTGCAGTTGCAGACAAGGCCTTCCTGTGGTGATTCCTGGGGCGTCTTGACTTCAGAATCCGTGTCAGGACTTGCACTATGTCCCTCATCGAGGGACGTTTCCTCGGGGCACGGTTCACGCACTTGTATGCAAGGGCTGCAACTTCATTCAGCTCTTGAACATCAAACTTTCCTTCAAGGCGAGCATCAGCAATTTCCTCCCAACCAGCTTTACCCTCAGTGCTCATTGCTGCCTAATCATCCATCAATAATAACATTCAATAAGCTCAAAGATGGAAAGTACACAATAACTATTTTCAAATTATTCTTGCTTCCTTGACCATACGTGATCATTCAACCACAACATGAAATTTTCACCGCAGTTATCAAATAAATAAATGGGCAAGATCTTGGTGTCTGTTAGATGTTTATTATTAGGTTCTTAAGTAGAATTATGATAAGTTGAGAAACTATTTTGAACGAATTAAGGGTTTGGTGTTGACTTGTAAGAAATGTCACATGTTATACTTTTATCAAATAAACTAAAAGCAGACACCTAAAGAACCCACTTAGATCTGTAAACAAAGCAGCACATGTATTTGCATATGTTTGTTATAAAATTCTTTAATACAATCATGTTATGTGGAGACAATTTTATGGAGTCACGTGTTGTACTTTTATTGAAGAAACCAATAGCACGTACCAAACAATCTGCACAAAAGAACCTAGGGGGGCGGGTGACAGAGTTTAGATGCAGTTCTTCAAGAGTCTGACATTAGGAGAGGCTCTTTTGAAAGAGTTGATGTTGTAGAGGCAAATTATAGAAAATGTTCATAGTAATATACTTGAGAACCTGATCTGTAAACTTACAAAAACTATACACTCTACACTCTGCCCAAGTGTTTTCCATAAATAAGAAACCATTGCAATCCTGGAAAGATTTTTTTTTTTTTAAACCATGTATTAACTCTGCCTCCAGATAGCTTGCAAATGGGCCGCGGGGGGGGGGGGGGAGGTGAGTGAGTGAGAGAGAGAGTGTGTGTCTTACAAGCTCAACATATTCCATAAGACCCTGTTGAGGATTTCGGCCGGCAATGAGTTCAAAAAGCAACACCCCAAAGCTATACACGTCACTTTTTTTAGTGAAAGTGCCAGAAGAGATATACTCAGGGTCAAGATACCCAAAGGTTCCCCGAATAGCTGCATGCTTATCCACCATCTCTTCTCTTGATAACCCAAAATCTGAAACCTGCTTGATTCACCATTAAATACTACTATATTAGAACCGACCTAACCAACAGAAAATGACATCACAAGAATATAAATGCTTAGCCATTTAGCATTTGTACATCTTTCATCCGTGAAGGACATACCCGAGCTCGCATGGAATGGTCCAATAGAATATTCGAAGATTTGATATCTCGATGGATCACAGGAGGAACTGCCTGAAGTATTAATGCATAAAACTTGAAAATTAACAAACATCACCAAAGCAGATTGATGCTGATGACTTGAAAACTTACTCCATCATGAAGATATTCCAAGCCTCTTGCCACATCCAAGGCTATATGAACCCTCAAATCCCAGCTCAGTGCCTTGTTCTCTTCACCTGAATATAGAGGCAAGAAAAGTGATTTTTATTTTCATTTATAATTGAATCCATATTCTCTGCAGTCATAAATGTTGTCAGGGAGAGTTAGAAAGAAAAAGAGAAGATAAGCACAAAGGGGGAAAGTGGGCCTTATACATAGTCTTATTCCCTTGCTACTCTTTAATGCATGACTGCATAGACTGTGAGGGATTGGTTCATGGAATATATTCATGGCAATTTGTGGAATTTCAGGAGGAAAACAACAACAGTTTCAGGAGGAAAAATTGATAAATTGTTAAACAGATCTAGACAAGTTGAGTTACAGTCTATCACAAAATTAGTTTGAAATATGGAAAAAATAGAAGATATTGCAGAATATTATACATTAAATGATTTTTTTCCTATAAACAAGGTAGGAGAGCATCGGGATGCTGAGCCAAAAGAAGGAAAAACTGAACTTATCTAGACATAATTTTGTGAAACAAACTAAACGTGTTTCCCTATGCATTGCATAGAATTTGACAAATGCCTCACATTGTTTATGATTTATGAATCGCGCGACTCGTTATAAATTTTTGATGTATTAATTCGGCTATTTAGATGCAAAGAGCAATGACCTATGCAAGAATCTTCTTGTTTATCCTCCTTCCAACCATTGAATTCTAAAATAATAAAGGTGTGAATATGGGTCGAATTATTGTATAACTCAAGCAGGCTGTTTTGGTGCAGAACAAGAAGGAACAAAAGAGAAAATCACAAAGTTCCAAAATGTGTATATATTAATAATAAAGGTGTGAATATGCCTACAAGTCAGCAGAATTTGAATGAAACAAAGTTTCGTAATCCTACAATGAATCTAGATAAGAGGTAACAAAACCCTGGGAGCATTTATTCAGATCCCTACTAATCCAATAGTCCCATTACAAACAAAAGTTCTCAAATAACGATTCCATTGTTACACAATACAATATACAGTAAAAACCTCTTGTAAAACTGCACTGCCTTCATCATGCTGCAAGAAATTGCAGTAAATACTGAAACAACAGGACCACTTATCTTTCAGGCATGCATGAAGTCTTAAAACAAATGTCCAACCAATTTATGAAGCAGAGGAATGACAAATAAGCGATTAGACTAATTCATTAGGCTCTGGCTACAAGTGGAATCAATGTGGAACACTATAATGCTTGAAGTTTATCGAGTAGAGAGAGGGAGAGGAAACTTACTATACAAGTGTGAAGCCAAGCTGCCCTTACTCATGTAGACATAAATGAGCATATGCTGACCTTTTTCTGCACAGTATCCGATTAAATTCACCAAGTTTCGATGATGTAACCTTCCCAATAACATGACCTGAGAATAATTTAAAATAACACAAAATGTCAAAATTGATTATTTGCTATGTAAAGAAGAAAAAAACCATTACGAAATATCAACTAAATGATAACTAGAGACTGTACAACAGAAGAATCACAAACTGCCCTGAACAACAGTCAAACATGTTGAGCTGCCAATTATGTATATCAAGAATTAAAAAAAACAAATTTCTAATTGAAGATCTAGTCACAACCATGTATTTAGTTTTCCCATTTTCCAAAATGGTTTCAAGGGGAAGAACAGTATTCACTGATACCAGATCTATATTTTTATTCATTGGACTTTTACCGTTCATTTATCAAGTTACCCCGTTTAGAAAACACTCAACTCTAAATCTATGTCACTGAAATTAAATGTAGATCAATTCCATACAATAAATATATTAAATTATCCAGTGACTATAACAACCTCTGTATGGAATTCTTTCTCCCCTTGCTTAGAATTAGTTGCAAGAACCTTAACCGCAACTGTCTCCCCAGTAGACATCTGAGCTTTATAAACAGGACCAAATGCACCATGTCCTATGAGTGTAGTGAAATTATATGTTGCCTTCTGCAGATCCCTGAAGTGCGAACACAATATTAAACAGAAAGAAAAACTAATGGTGAACTCTAATATACATTACAACTAATGCTCACTTAAATTATCACATCAATAAACAGAATATCTGATGAAGAACAAAAACAACATGCAGCCTTATCCCACTAGGTGAGGCCACATGGATTGCACGACATCATTGTGCTTTATCATTAACCTTATGAAACATATTAAGCAAGTGCCAATGAAACACATGCCTTCAACTTCAAGCACTCACATCCGGATTAAACATATTAATATCTGATGTAGAAAATCCTGAGAAACAAAAACCTTACGAATCTAGCAGAGGCATATTAAGCATGTGCCAATGAAACACATGCCTTCAAGCACACGCATCTAGATTAAACAAGTTTAATAGCATAATGTTGGAAAGACTAACACATTCTAGCCATCCAACAAATATTTCTTCAGTGCACGTAGATCATAAAGCATCCACATTTTATTCTCATTATAAATAAGAAATATGCAAGATTAAGTGTTATTTCGAAATCTAGAATCTAGAGTAGGCTTATATAAATCTAGAACAATGACACGTGACTGCAACTTCTTATAAGAAAGACATACTTGTATGAATACTCAGGTATTCCAGATGCTGAAACCATGCTACCCCTCCTAAATCCATCAACCCAGAAGGCAGTGCCGCTCCTCCCAGACTTTACAGGAGATTCTGGACCTAGCGTCGAGTCTGATAGAATAGTACAAGAATCAGCACCATTTGCACGGATGGGTATGGTGGCTGCCCTCCGGGAACTGCTATTGCCTATCAGTGAACGCTTCCTATGGTATCTGAGACAGAACAGTGCAGAAATAGCCAAAATCACTCCAATAACCACACCTATGGAAATTCCAATTATCAGTCCAATTGATTCGTCTTTCATCTCCTCTTTCGCGCTTTTCTATTCTCAGTTGATCATCCAATTCATTGAATCATACACCTGAGAAAAACGTTGACCACACATCAAATCAATGCTAAATTTCACTACATGGCTTATTAAATTGAATGGCAAGTGATCAACTGTAGGCTATTACTTTGAATTATAAACCAGAAGCATGTGTGAACACAGCAGATAAAATCAGAGCTAGGCGTTACTGTTTGCAACAATTGAGAGCTAATAGAGAAACAACAATACACAAACACAACCCATTCTTTTGTAAAATTCAATCCACCAAAAATTGCAAATTTAGAGAATAAAGAAAGGAGATTCCTCTTAAGATCCAAAAAAAGAGAAGGCAGGAGGATAAAATGCTAATCTTAAGATGGGTCAATCCTCACCTTCAGCTGAAGCGTATAAACTTTACACTTGATCTGTTATATAATTTTCAATTCTTGCCTTCATATAGGTAACGCTAGAGACAAAAAGTTTGGAGGAAAAAAGTGAGGGAGAAAATATCTTAGAAGAAAGAGCAAGATCAGAACCAAAAACAGGTCAACAACTGCTTAGCTTCTACTGAGACTAGTACAGGCTTTTGACGAAATGCAGCTAACATCGTATTTTTTCCCCCTTTCTCTTTCATTTTACTCAGTTTTTCTTTCTCAGCAAACAAGCAAGTGCAACACGCAATGAAACTCCATTAACACGCAAGCACCCACATGACAAAACAACACACAGAAGACAGCTTCCTGGAACAGAGCAGACAGATCGAAACATTCACAACAGTAACGGTTGACCCCAACCAAAAAAAAAAAAAAAGGTTCTGGGAAAATCTGAAACGCAATAAAAAGGAATTGAGACCAGAAATTTACCAGTTCATTCGAGATAAGAAGAGTTGAAAAAGTAACACTATTTCGAAAAGGAGAACCCAGAAGTGTACGACTGGGAAGGAACATTCACTCTCGAATGGGATTACACGAACAAAATCGACAGAGAGAATCTGAAGGAAAAAGAAGCATCAGCTTGAGGTTTCAGCAGCGCCACAGTTGGACCGTAGAGTAAGAGTCATAGGAAATAGGAAAATACTAAAAATTGCATGCCCCTCGCAAAAGAATGAGAAAAAATGACAAGTCGCGGCTTTGCCGTAACAAAATCAAAATAAAAATTGACTTTTGACCATGATTTTGACATCCTAAGCGGTTCATTTATTCAAAAAAAATATGGCAAACTTTACATATTTTTTATTTTTTTTCTCTATTTACGAAAGTTTTGATAGAGTATACTACTAAATCTTCACAAAATATGTAAAATGTTAAAATAGAAAAATAAAAATTTTAAGCCTAAAAAAGTATATAAAAATAGAATTACATGGAAATAATCGCGTTTTTGAAATTATATTGATAGGGATGAGTTAAGCTCTCCATAATTATTATTTATTAAAATACTCTTTCATTGACGTAGTCTTTGGGAGTCGGAAAGTCTTTGCTCTTTCTAATTAAAATAAGATATCTGTTATTGGGTCGTGGACTAATGCCTTAAAATATGTACGAAAAATATTTAGGTAAATTAATTATTTATATTATTTATGATCTATTTAATAAAATAAAAGTGTGGCATTTACATAACATTAAATGTAAATTAATTTTAATATTAATGATAGTAAAAAAAAATTAAATATGTATTTTACTATAAATAAAATTAATTTAAAAAATACCATACAAAAATTTATTTAAATTATTTAAAATATTTTAATTGAAAATATCATAAATGACGTTGTTCACCTGATTTTTAAATTATTAACTGAATTTTTCTTTTAGTAAAATAGTTATATATCTTTAAATTTTTTTATATTTATTTATTATTTTAAAAGAGTATTTTATTTTAAAATAAATATAAAATAATTTATTTATATAAGTATTTTTAAAAAAAAAATATAATAAAAATATTAAAAATATTTTATACTTTTTAACATTTAATTTCTAAAAAAAGAGTCCATATAATGAAGTAAACTTGTTTTTTTTTTTTTTTGCCAAAGAAGTAAACTTGTTAATGTTAATTGTTAATGCATCTGGCCAAAAAAATAATAATTTCTTATTACTTTTATTAATTTTTAGATAAATAATATTCTGCTGGAAAAAATATTTGTAAAAACATTAATTTTGAGTTCTATATACTTTTTAGCCTTTTTTTTTTTTTGAATGCTTTTTATCTTTTTAATTATTTACATCTGTGACCGCGAGCAGGGGTCTCCTAGTCCTTTCTCCCCTCTTAAGTAATGAAATTAAAATGAGTCACATATATTTACTTTTTTAAAAAAAAACCAAAAATTACCTTTTCTTTTGCCAGCCATATACTCCCTCCATCTATAAATATAAAATATTTTTAATTAAATTTTATTTTTAATAAAGCAGTTACTTACTTTTCAGCTAACTCTATCTTTTCATATTTATTTTTATTAAACACTTTACAATAAATATAAAGTTATTATTACTAGGGACACTTTTAAAAAAAGACAATGATTATATTTCAAAAGATTAAAAATATTTTATATTTTTTAATATCTAACTTCTTAAAAAAATTTAGAAAGTATGTTTTTTTGGATAAAAATTCAAATATATATAACTAAAAGAAATATTTACAGGAAAAAGTCACAACTTTAATGCACTACAGAAATGTCAGCCACATATTTTCATTTTTAGAAAAGTTAAAATAATTGTGCCTTTTATAATTTATAAATAATATATAATGCTTTTATAGTTCGATATTTCCTATAGATATTGATTTGTGAACCGTGAGCTCTCTGAATTTGTTTGGAATGTGCTCTGATATAAAACATTTTAACTAAGGCATTGAACAAAACAGTTAATAAGTAGTTCATGTTAATGGATAGACAAACCACCTAAATTCTAATTAAGTGTCTCTAAACCTAATTAAACAACTCAAATGATAAATTCTAACCTTAAATTCTCAGTACAAATCACACCCTATGTCAATTGGACTCAGTTAGCTCTTAAAAAAAAAAAATACAGCTTGCTACACCTCTTCCTCCAGAACAGCACCAGCATGTACAACATTTGTCTTTCATGTGCAATAATAATAAATAGAACTGGCATAATTAATTTCCATTTATAAAATATACTCCGAGTGGGAATCTCAGATAAACAAACAATATGAAAATAAAATCTTAATGGAGATATGGATGATAAAGAAATTATAATTATAAGTAGTTGATATAGGAAGTTAGCATTAATTGGGTTTGATAAAAAAGGGAGAAATTTAAGAGGGTGAACAGCCAGCCAACCTAACACACCTAAATGACCCAATTTTGATTTGATATAAAGTGTGGGAAAGTGAAGAGTTTAAGCAACAAGTCTTATTCTAGAATGAACTCACCTCTTAGCTCTTCGATGATTTTTATTTTATTTTATTTAATCCATCATTTTCATCGCCCTAATTTTTACTCCATATCAATATGATTGGAATCTAATTTAATTGTTTTTTAGTAGCATTAGTTAAACATAAAATCACAATCGTTGTGTTTGAATTTAATTTAACATCATCTCGACAATTGGCTGTGTATATATATGAAAGACAAGTCAAATATTGGCGTGGGTGAAATCAAAATTACCTGTAGCTCTTGAAATTGTTGGGTGTGGGCTCCTTTCCTATGTAAAAAAAAGCTTAATAGTAAATTTTATTATGAATCTCACCGACTAAGGTGGAGAGAGTTTATATTAAGTTATGAGAGAGAGATCAAAAATGAGGTGCAACCATTTGAAAGAGAAGAAACGATAAAATTATTTTCATATGTTTATTATATAATAGTCTTAATAAACCGATATTTGTGAATTTGTTAACCATTAGATCAGGTTAAAGTTTGGTCAAAAAGGTTTGAAACATTCAATGCATTATTTTCAATCATTTGATCATTGATTTGTTGCATGATATGAGAGTTATTTTGTTGGCATTACACTTTATGTTTGAGTGTTTTTCATCTTCTTATTTTCCTTTATAAGTTTGTTATTTTAATGCTTTAACTGATTGTTCACACTTATTTGTGCTTCTGATTAAAACTCTCTTATACTCTATTTTGATCACAGTAAAATCATTCGTTATTGGTCTTGATGGCTCATACTTGTGCATTGAGTAGTTTTCCATATTAATAATTTATGGTGTCTTTTATTGATTTGTGCCATTTATTTTTTGTCATGTATTTGTTTATTTGCTCCTCTAATGTTCTAGTAAGTGGATGAAAATTTATTTTCACTACGTATAAATTACTGGATTATTTAAAAATATTTTTTATGCATGGAGAAAGTTTAGAGGGAGAATGACAAGTAAGGACCTTATAAAAAAATTAATGTAAAATCAAGATTTTTAATATTAAAATATGAGAGAAGAAGTACAGAATTTGAGAACGTCAATGTTAAATAAATGCTAATTTGACATTGATATTTTTATGGGGTTGGATCCTTGACCTCCGTTTACACTGTATCTCGTTATTTTTAATTGAGCAGGTCAATTTTTTTTTTGGGATTTTGTATCTTTATTCTTATCTTATTTATTATTACTGATTTAATTTTCTTGCAAATATCAATATTTCCTTTCAGAATAATCAACGACTTAATTTATTTATTAGTCTATCTGGTGTTTCTGTCAAACTTCTCATGAATTTTGCCTATATTGTTTGTTAAGTGCTTAGTAGTTGGTAGCTGTTTACACTTCTAAACTCTGAAATATCTGGTCAAAAAATAAATTTCTAAAATATAAATCCCAATCTAGATATGTTCAATTCATCATTATAATCCACTTGGGAATTGGGATGAACTAAGATTCAACAAATTAAATTTATACAAAAATTCTCTCAACAACCCCACACTTCATATTTAAATTTTTTTATGTTTATTGTGGACGAACTCAGATCTTTTTGGTTGAAGACGGTGTATTTTGAATCAGACACCCACCAACTCCGATTGTTGCAATGGTAGTCGGTGGTGACACGCACGTCTTGTTTATTATAAATGAACTATTTATTATATTATGAGGTATATATGTACTGTATATTATTAGTACATGAATAATTCAGCTATACATCAAACTATCAGAAAAAGTATCACCACACAGGGTCTTCAATTACACTTTCAGGAAACACGGAGACTCCAAGAAGGCATACGGAATCAAGTTTTATTATTATTACTATTACTATCACCATTAGAGGTTAAATGAAAAACTTGTTTTGAAAGTTTTTCGTAAGGTGTAACTAGTGTGACTAACTTTTGATTGATACAATGTTATGGCAGAAATTTCTAAAATAATGCAGTTTTGCTCTACACTAATATTTGATTGGCACTGACTGTGGGTTGAAAAAGCTGATTAAGGTCTCGTTTATTTATTAAAAAGAAATAAAATAAAATGAATTAAAAAAATAAAAATAAAAATTAGATAATTAAAGGGAATAGATGAGTACATTCACAAAAAAAAAGGTAATTTAATTCATAAAGTTGGGAATTATAATTCCTGAAATTTTTAAAGGGTGTGATGATTTTCATATTTGTAGTACATGTCAACGAGTTCTATTATATTTACTATAAGAAAAAGGGTGATTTAATTCATTTTTATTTTAATTTTTTTCAATCTATTCTGTTCTAGTAATCAAATGGGATCTTAGTTTATAGAACA